CCAAGAAAGTATGACTTAATCTAACCCTACATACAATGCTAATCCTGCTCCTTAAACTAAGCATTCAATGTTATAATCATTCGATGAATACATTTTAAATAAAGTAAAAGCAAAAATGCAACCCCTGGTTCATGTGCTCAAACCACTTTACGGGAAAATGGCTTGGAAATGTTTTCGAAAATGAGCAAGCTGTAACAGACCATAAATATACTATATAGGCCTATATACACCGACGTAAGTGCTGCCAAGTTTTGTCTCTGTGGTTTGTTCTGTTCACTACGTTTTTCGTTGATAGTGTTTGAACTGTTTGAACTTCATTTTACATTCTTTTACAAACTTGTACGAAGAACAGTGCTCATAAAATTACAAAGGTTAAGGCTAAGGACTAACAACCATTAAACTGATGATGCCCCCCCCCCCACCAAATTAATCACTCAAGTGATTTTAACGATTGCTTCCAACTTGGCAGAAATTATTTTGGCCCATGCTATCAACTGTAAAAATTGTTTGGCCCTCCAAACAAATTAATTAAGAACCTGGGTTATGTAACCATCAACATGAATTCAGTGAATGATGCCAGAATTTATAAAATAAAAGAAAAATCTTCCCTGTGGTGATGTTAAACCAACTAAATCCATTGTTAATAGTCATAGCAACCTAACAATGGAAGACATAATATTATGTCAGTTCAAATTATATTATACTAGTCAATGGAACAAGTGCAGGAAAATGAATTCAACTCCGTGGGAGAATATTCTATTATTTGCAGCTAATGCGTTTGCATTCAAACCTTCCAGTCTCCCGGCAATCAGTATGGTCTTCCGTACTCCCGCAAACAAGCAAAAATCTCCCAGAAATTCACTTACCTCCCGCAAATTCAGTAAAAAAACAAATCTTTTTGTTTTATTTAGGCCTAAACTTTGGTTGCCAACTATTTTTTGCAGTCTGACAGTGCCATCTTCGGCTTCTAAAGGTGCCTATTCTAAAAAAGGGTGGAATAGGGTCACCTCTATAAATATGGTTAAAAAAAAGAAAATATACAGACTTCTGAAGTTAGTTAAATGCATTTCTGTAAAACTATGTCTTCAAATTTCCTTAGTAAGTGAAAAATATTCATAACACCAAATAATTTGCCATTAGTACAAGACAAGGGCGTCGATCTGTGGTTACAAGTGGGGGGGACGAAATGAAAAATAAAGCCTTTGGCTGTATGTTCAATCCTTGGTTGGGGACCAGGGGGCGAAGCCCCCAGAAGCTCTGGTGCCTCCTATAGCCTTTCAATTGATTTTAAGCAATGTAATTAACATTTATTTCCATACGAAATTTTCAAAATATCCAGTGGCGGATCCAGTAATTTGAAATAGAGCTGGGCCCAAAGAGGGACTTTTACAGATGGAGAGAGTAGACCACCTCAGCCCCACCATGGTTGGGGATGAGGCATGAAAATTTATGATTATGGCACCTCTATTGGTCGGAAATGGCACTCTCAGACTGAATTTGAATATAATTTTCATTTTTTTCCACTTTCAAATCGAAAAAATAAAAAAATAGGGATAGTGTGCCAGCTGGGCCCCTTGAATCTGCAAAGCCTTGAAGTTTTTAAAATTATCCTTTTAGTCATAATTATGCCCGCTTATGTATTTCGTGCAAACTAACATTCATAAAAATAATGGTTTATTATCTACTGATTAGCTTGTGACGTATTCAAAATTCGAACCATGAAAAACAAATAAGCTTAAAACAGTCATTAATTTTAATAGGCTTTTTCATGTACAGTACTTTTAAAATCAATCAAGAGTTTTTTGCTTTTCTCCTCTTTTTGGATTTCACTTTTGTCTAAGTAATATTGTGACTACATTATTGTGAGTGGAAATGCCGTCTAATTTACGATCAAACAGGACTAGGGAGATAGGGAGCACACAAAACAGGAGCACACAAAATATTAGTTAGCATTTTGATTTCACAATAAAGGTGATTTACTGAATTTATCATTACCAGGAAAGCAAAATAGAGGGGGGACAGGGAGGGACTTGCACAATTTTGGAAAGTAGATCACATTAGCCCCACCATGGTTGGGGCTGAGGAAAGAAAATTTATGATTATGACACCTCTAGTTGGTCGGAAATGGCACTCTCAGACTGAATTTGAATATAATTTTCATTTTTTTCCACTTTCAAATCGGGGAAAAAAAAAAAAAAAATAGGGATAGTGTGCCGACTGGGCCCCTTGAATCTGCCACTGAAATACTCATAAAAAGTTTTTAAAATTATCCTTTTAGTCATATTACCGCTTATATATTTTGTGCAAACTAACATTCATAAAAATAATGATTTATTATCTACTGATTATTAAAACAGTCATTAATTTAGTCTTTTTACATTTACGGTACTTTTAAAATCAATCAAGAGGTTTTTGCTTTTCTCCTCTT